CCCCATAATAGGACTTGAGGACCCAAGGGTACCCTCCAATAGTAGGAGTTGAGGACCCAAGGGTACCTCCCAATAATAGAAGTTGATGACCCAAAGGTACCCCCAATAGTAGGACTTGTGGACCCAAGGATACCCCTCAATAATAGGACTTGAGGACCCAAGGGTATCCCCGAATAGTAGCACTTGAGGACCCAAGGGTACCTTCCAATAATAGGAGTTGAGGACCCAAAGGTACCCCCAATAGTAGGACTTGAGGACCCAAGGATACCCCCCAATAGTAGGACTTGAGGACTCAAAGGTGCCCCAATAGTAGGACTTGAGGACCCAAGGGTACCCCCAATAGTATGGCCGTTACCCCGTTCGTCAGTAACTGGTAACGGTAACTTCCCACCCCTAACTATGGATACCTGCTTTATATCAAAATATAGTTTTAAACATAAACTACTATGCAAGTGAACCGGTAACCGGTTCAGACCGGTTACCGGTTCAACGGTTACCGGGTCAGACCGGTCACCGGTTCAACGGTTACCGGTTCATACCGGTTACCGGTTCATACCGGTTACCGGTTCACCGGTTATCGGTTCAACGGTTACCGATTCCTACGATCAAGCGGTGACGAATCGTCACCGTTGCATCCCTATTCTCTAATTTTAAATGATCAAGAAATCTGATTGATATTAGTTCAATAAACACAAACTCATTCAATGATTACACATAACAAGAATAAAGATACTAGAATCAATCAGAAATAAGAACTAGAGCAAATTTGTAACTGATGGAGTTGTTAAATAGATGGTTACGCAATAAATAGTCTTAATAAAAATAAAAATACATTCATGTCAAATACCTAAAAAAAACTGTGTGACATATTTTGTGTTCTAGACATAGTAGTATGCCTAAAGTCTTTTCTTAAAGCTATGTCAACAGCATAATTATACTAATCAACAGATGAGAAAATTTCAAAAAAAGAAGCATCATCACGAAAGTTAATATCCTGTTATGCTTATTTTCCAATGCACAAAACAAAATTCTTTATTAAAGATTGAGGCTTTAAAAAAAGATGTTTATCATATTTAGTGAAATGGCATTTTTAGAAGTTGTAATTCATAACTTTTAACAACAATTCATTTCAAAAATAAAAAACTTGTTCTTCAGAATTTTTACTTTGATAAGAAATATAACAATTATAGATGAAGTATCAATGATCATATAGTATATTTAAGAAAATTAGATTAGAGTTAAAATTTCAGCTAGAGTAAACCTATTTTTACACTAGACGATAATTTGAATGTGATATTTCGATATTAGTTACTGTCGTAGATGTATTTCTCATGAACAAATTTTTGAAAATTTCTCCTATATTATCTGCTTAATTCATACGTATATCTGTTATGAAAAAATACCGCTTGTAATTCTCTACAAAACTATATAAGATTTCATTTAAATATATTTGTTTAGATCTATTTGAAAAAAGATGACAACTAAGCTATACAAAAAGTTGTAAAAAATAAATATGATAAATGTGACGAACCACCAAAAATCTATCACAATTTATGCTGTATAATTTCACAGCAACCAACTTATTTATGCATAAAAGTGACAAAGAACACCAACTCTATAGATATCTCATACTCTCCCGATCGTTCAACGACAGTTCGAACAAAAATGAATAGCTCAAAGTTCAAGCAGTGCCAACAAAAAAAAACAACTGTGACTGATCCTCACAAAATTTTGTACACTGGATGTTATCAGAGTTTTGTTTAAGTACACATGCATGACCTTAGTCAGAAAAGGTCTACAGATCATTTTGATATCTTCATGTTCAATAGCCATTGGTCACTAAATCTTCTAATTTCAAATTCTTTAGGTTAAAGTGTATACAATGAACTCGTGGAAGCTATGAATTAAGACCAAAAAACACAATAAGGCTACAAGAGCAGATGAAAATAAAGCGCTTTCTCCAAAAAATTGTATTATTGACTTTACGATTACATGTGATGCAAAAAGAGATAAAAAAGATTAAGCGGATGATTGAGGAGTACTCTCAAAACTCTCTTTAATTTATGAACTTGAAGGAAAAGGTAAAGAAAAGTTTCATCGAAAAGAATTTTAAAAAACCAAAAAATAAATTGAATGTTTGAGAAAGATACATAATTAGATGGATATTCGTAGAAATCAATTTTTATAATATAATGACATCTATTTAATAATTTTATGATTAAAAAATTAATTTTTAAATGAATAATAACCTCAATCAAAGTTGTATTGAGAAATAGTTCGATGTATTTATATTCATAAAGCTACAATGATCTTTAAAATACAAAACATAAATTTGTTCTGATTTGTCAAAGATCTTGACTTCTGAGAATCTTCACTGAAGAAATAATGAAACGTTCTATTTTTCAGAAAAAAAACATTTCATTCAAACCGTCAATAGCAGATGTATTTCTCTCTATCGACACCTATAAATAGTATTGAGTAATAAGAAAATAAAAGAATTGTAATTTATTCTAAACTAACACAAGATAAATTTTAACTTGGCAAAAAATGCTTCTTTCAGATATGCGTCATTGATAAAGTTGTTACTCTTAGTAACAACGGGTACTTTGTATGACGAATGACATTTACCACAAAGATGTTCTATATTTGTTTGTTAAACCGATAATACAAAAAATATAGAGGGCAGTACTATAGACTAGTAAATCTATTACAAAAATTCACCTAAAAATAGAGAAAATACATTTGAATAAGAATAAAATTAGAATTCATATAGTATATGATCAATTCAAAGAAGTCATTTATTAATATTTCTTATTCAAAGTGCATTAATCACTTTTCAAATCTTTTGTAGAATACATGAGTCATTAGTTGTGGACATCTGATCAAAATGATTCATTAAAAATACAGATTAAATTTCTTCGAATAACTTCGACCTATTTTTTTAATTGTAAGAATTATTTTATTAGATAAAAAAAAGAAATTCTACCGATGAGTTTTATCGTCAATTGTTTATACCACAATATATATTGTTCTATATCTATTGATTCATTTAGTTCAAAATGATTTTTTTTATTTAATAAATTTCTATTTAGGGTAAAATCAAAGTAAGTAAGAGAAAAGAATCTTTAACTTTTCCTTTTCTAAAAACTTTTAGTTTTCTTGTTGTTCTACGGTGTATTATTTTGTTTTGTTGATAGATGCGTATTTATACTATCATTGGATCAAAAATTTTGAAGTTTGGCTATGAATAAAAATCCAAAAAAATTAAAACGAATACATTCAAGGTAAAGATTTTAATAAATAAAAAATCGAAAATAATTTCGATTGTTTTTTTTTTATAGAAATGATACAAAACAATCACCATCAAAAAGGTAAAAAAACAAAAAAAAAATTTTTCTACTTTAATATCAAATTAATATTGATAATTTTTTTTAGACAATTTCGTAATGAAAATGAAAAACGTCGTCGTGATCTTTTTAGTAAATTAATAACAAATTTAGAAGATTTACTTTCTATAAAAAAAACTTGTTCATCAAATGAACAAACTAATAAATTTGATAAAGCTTCAATTTTACGTCAAACAGTTCAATATTTACAAAAACATCATCACTGTAAGAGAAAAAAAATATTTTGATTGAAATTGGTTTAGCCAAAAACTTTATTTGATTAGTTTTAACCAATGATGAAAAAGTTGAATTATCAAATAAGCGATCAACATCATCAAAACGAAATCTTTTTTTAGATTTTTCATGGAAACCATCATCTGATTTAATTTATATTGAAGAATGGTTACAAATAACTATTGAAGTAATTCAATTCTATAATTGAAATAAATTAAATTGAGATTTTTTTTTTAACTCGTAGTCGATGAATTGTTTTTTTCTCGTGGTAAAATCTAATCCATACAATACTGAGATAAATTATGTATCAAAAAATATAAGTTCATATCTTGGTTATTCACAACATGAAATTTTAAATCATTCATTATTTGAATTTATTTTTCCATCTTATCATGATCGATTACGTGATTATCTTTTAAATGATCATAAAGGTTAAATTTAATTGAAAATAAAACTTTGTTTTATTTCTATGTTTTATTTAATAGTATTAGAAAGCTGTGATTTATCTTGGAAACGAGCAGTTAATGATGATTATGAACAATGTACTATCATTGGTGCATTTCGAAATAGTAAACTTAAAAATGAAATTTCTTTTTTTCGTTGTTTTTTTTTGACTTGTTTTTTAGTTAATGAAAATGAAAAATATTTAATGTCAATTGTTAAATTAAATACATTAGATCGAACATTAATTATTAATAATGAAAATTTATCCGATGAATTTATAACTCATTTAAATATTTATGGAAAATTTATTTTTATTGATGCAAAGTTTGACAAAATTTTTAAGAAATATTTTTTTTTTCATTTATTTTTTTATTTTGAAGAGCTCGACAATATCTTGGTTACAATTCATTTGAATTAATTGGTCGAACATATTTTGATTTTGTTCATCCAGATGATTTATCGATTATTGTTCGTGCTCATCAATTATGTAAAATTTCATTTTGTTCTTTTTTTTTTTTTTTTACAAACGAATAAACTCAATGTGTTTCTGTATTAGGGAAACAAAATGGAAATGGAAAAAGTGATCCATATAGATTTTTAACCAAAGGTCAACAATGGATTTTTCTTCAAACATATTCTCAAGTGCAAATTAATTCTTGGAATGGAAAACCTGAAAGCTATGTTTGTACAACAAATATTATTCAATCGTAAATTTTATTTAAACGAAAACAGAACAAAAGCTTTACTTTTTTTTTTGTTGAATTAGTTCAAGCGATTCTTTGCAGAAACAATTATTATTTATACCAACGAGTGTTCAATCAAACATTTCGAATGGTAAATATATTATCGAATTTAATAATTATAACTTGATAGTGATTAAGCTTAAACCAGATAAATGATGCTTCCATGAGTTGGATTCATCATAGTTTTATCAATTTACAATAATGTTCAGTCTTTTAGTATTAACACAGTTTGAAACCAATACATGTCAATGGAATATCCTAGAAGCTGTTCAGTCTGTAAATTTGCAACAAAAATTTTCCGTTATTGTCGAAAGAGATGTTGTGAAGTGGTGGCTGTGGATGATTGGCGATTTTTGTGGGAGATAATTTCAAAAAGTTGACAAAAACGAAGAAAATTTTATTTTCGACGATTGTCAAAAACTTTCGATCGAGCATATTTATCATTTTATCTTAAATGTATATAGTGACGAAATGAATTTTTCCTCATATGAATTAATTCTCGTAAGGAGCTACTCTGTTATGACCCACTCTAATCGGACTTGGGTTTTACGAAGCACTAGTAAAATATCTTCCAAACCGCAATTTTTTAGAAGAATTTCGCATCTGGGAATCGAATTCGATGTATAATTTCAATAAATTAAATAATATAGATCACTCAGGTCTTTTACTCTATTTTTGACAGATTGTTCCGTTTTTCGAGAAAAGTATAAGTAAAAAATAAACATCATTCGACAGCTAGAACAAAATATATGATTGAGTTACAATATAGAAATGAGACATTGAGTCCGAAGAAATGTGCACCTATGGAACTGTAATCGGAAAAATATCTGTTTCAAGAATTGAAAACAATGCTCTGATCATAGTTTTGACTGACCATGAGTCATCTTTTGATAATTATTGGTTTGATGACATGATTTAGTGTACTTATTTTTTGGACTATTACTAACTTTGTAAAAGTACTTCGTTTAGCTATGTGACTTTTGAACATAATTCGATGAAATGAAAATAATTATCGGTCTGACATGAATGTCGAAATCGATATTTTCACCTGTGATTTTTTTTCATATTAAATGGTATATAGAGAAAAGATTTTTCATTGAATAAGTTTACCGTAAACTTTAGTTGAATCTTCGTATTTTCCTTGTACAACAACAGTGTCACAAACAGAACATCCACAAGAAAAAAGTTCTTCGTCTGAAAGTGAAATAACTGTAAGTATTTTTAACAAAAATTGTTAACGAAATGAATACAAATATTTTTAGTCATTTTTATCCAATCTTGGAAGCGAAACCTATCGAAAAAGTATTCGTGAAAAATTAATCGAACGTCGAAAAACTAAAGAAGCTGAAATACGTGTTCGTCAAGAAGAAATTCAAGTTATTGAAGATATGCTTCAATTTATTAATCAATATCAAATTAAACATTCATCAATTGTTCCAACTAGTCAAGTCACATATCAGCAAACTAAAAGTCTGGTCACAGAAGGTTATAAAGATTTATCTTTTATTTAAAAGAAAAATTCTTTTTTTTGTTTTGTTTAGAATTTCCTTTAAACGTATTTGATCCTAATAGTGATTCAACATTATTTAATAATTCTTTATCTGGTGTTGTTGAAGATTTTACCCTTCCAACCAATGCTAAAGAGGATGCAATAATTGACCCATTATCATCATTATTTTCTCCATTATCAACTACATTTAATATTTCATCTCCAATAATACCATTATCAAATCCATCATCAAATAACGATTCAGTAGACGATATGAATTGTCTAACTTCAACAAGAAATTCATCTACAGACAGATCATTTACACAAAATCCATTTCCTTAATGTGTTTTAATGTTTTAAAACGAGAGAATACCAATGTTTTTGTCTAGTAAATTAAAAATAGATTGAAGCTTTTTTAAAAGAGAAATCTTTTTTACAAACACCGTCTTTCGATTCTTATCAATTTATAACTTACAGAAGGGGCAATATTGACACAATTGTTTCCTGAATAGGATTGAAGTATGTTTTTGTTGCTTTTCATGTATATCGTGCATTAACTTTGAAAATTCTTATTCTTCAAAAAGATATGACATTGTTCTTAAAGAAAGAAAAACTGGATTCTGACAGATTATGCAGAATCTATCAAAGTTTATTATGATCTTAATCATGAGAACTTGTACAGATTCTATTGAATGACCAATGTCATTAAATTCATCAGAGCCCATTGAAATGCATCCAGATCACAGACCGAACCAGGATCGAATCCGAATTCAATGTTGGAAAAGTAGGTCGAATCGTAAGGACATATCTTTACTCGTTCTCTTCTTTCGATAAAAAAAAACACTGGAAAAAAGAGCATATGATCAAAACAAAAGTTGTAACATATTCTATTACAGTCTGATAAGTGAGAGCAAAATACATATGATTTGTTATTTTATTAAAAACAAAGGCAAGATAAAATGCTAATTATCCTG